GCGCGGCCGCGGCGGGGGTGCTGGCGCTTGCCGTGGCGGGCGGCGGCGTGCTGCTGGTGGCGTCCACGTACCGCCGGGAGGTCGCGGGCGTGGTCAGCAACTACGCGGGCCGCCCCGCCGCCGAGGCGCTCGACGCGTCGCTGCTCGCGCCGCTGAACCTCGCGCTCGCCCCCGCGCGCGCGGCGCTCGCGCCGCACCTGGCAAAGGCCGCCGACGCGCTCGCGCCGCACGTGGCTGCGGCGGCGGACGCGCTGTCGCCGCACCTGGCGAAAGCCGCAGAGGCGCTCGCGCCGCTGGCGGAGCAGGCGGGCGAGGCGTGGCGGCAGCTGGCCGCGCAGGCGCAGGACATCTACACGCGCGACACGCAGCAGTGAGGCGGCAGGTCGTGCGGCGGCGGCGGCGTCAAGGCAGCCGCGGCAGCACCCGCGCAATGACGGGGCGGTTGTCGACGACTGGCAGGTTTTGGAGGGTGTGTCCGCTGCACTCGGCGCACGCATCCCGTCCAAACAGGGGGGTTCCCTACGCTGTACGCGGCGCACCAGTTGCAGATCAGGCGGGGTGGACGGCGCCGGGGGGCTTGTTGCGTGAGGTCAAGGCCCGCGTTTTGACGCTGCAGATCGCCACGCCCAGCTGTCCCCTGTGTGCGTGCCGGCGTTTTTTCGTTGGGCAGAGCATGGGGCGCGCACTGCAGCCGCGTCCTGCGGGGAGAAGGCGAGGCGTTCGTCTGGCGGCTGACAGGGGCGCTGCTGCCGCATGTATGCACGCATGCCCAGGGTACGCGAGCCCAGAGGCGCCGCGCACCGGCCGGCAGGCAGGCGCCCGCGCGCCGCCGTTGCGGGATTTTCGGGCCTTGACCGCCGTTTTGAGAGGCGCGCGAGGCCCCAACTCAACTCACTGCTAGTTGTCCCCGCTCAAGCCGGTGAAAGGGTGCGCATCCGTGCAGCGAGGCGGCAGCGGCTCCTCGGAATTGGGTTTGCCATCCGGCGCACTTGCCCAGCTCTGTGCCTTCTTCGCTCGGCGCCGCTGTAAGCAGCACAAGTTGCTGGCTGGAACCAGTGAGTCCCTGCCCAGCTGCCAGCCCTGATCTGGTGGGTGGTCGCATGGCTGCAGCCGCGGCCGACGGTGCCGTTGTTGCGTGGTGCGGCGAGCTCGTGCGAGAAAATTCAATGGGACACGAGCACAGCTGTCCGACGAAACGGTGACATCCATCAAATGGAGCATGACCATACAAAAAGATGACATCCATCAAGAGCAGGCACAAAGCAGGCAGCTGAGAGCCTAGGCAGGCGCGTGGCCTGCTGCTGGCGCCGCACTCTCTTGGCCGTGTGAGCTAGGGGCGCATGCTCCGCAGGCGGTGATGCGCTCGTGCCCTCCGCCCCACCGCGCGGGCAGTGCGGGCTGGCCCGCCACTGACCGCCCATGGCTCCTCGCCTTGTCAGCAGCAGAGGCGAGCCCCAGCGCCTCCCTTCTTCCGCGGTCGGCGTGGCGGCACCGGCCGGCAGGGCAGGAGCAGAGCTTTTCCAGGGTGGATTTTCAGGTGGCGCTCAGGAAACCAGGGAACCCGTACGTACCAAGAGCGTCACTATGGCTTGCGCCACAGGAGCCTGGGGTGTGCAGACAGCACCTGCTGTCTTGGGCGCCGCTGCTGCGGCCGCGGCTGCCTCACCTGCGGCGCTGTTGGCAGCGGCGGCAGGCCCAGACACTTTGAAGCCCACCCTCGGCAGTGACGTGGCTGGGTGACACCGGACGGTTACGCGTGACGGCAATGAGAGCAACAGCCATGCAACAACACGCTGCAGGAGGAATTGAGTGCCCTCATCGCATTGAGCGACATCACAGTAGCCCCTGCAGTGATGCAATGTGACCGCTGACCCATGCTGCTGCTGTGTGGCATGCTGCCTGCGGCACGCGCTTGCCTGGGCTTCTGTGCCGGGGCGGCGAGTCACAAGCTGAGAGGGTGCCAGCTGTCCACAAAGATTGATATGCATACCCAGCACCGTACATACGCCTCGCGGGTGTCAGATCAGACGGACGATCTCAGCGCGAAAGCCCCGGAAGCGACACATGCAGATGTTGAATCCATCAGCATGCCGCCATCGAGGGCCAGACCTTCGCGTATATGGGTCACAGCGGTGTCCCACCCATGGCGCGCCGTTCGAGTCGCCGCGATGACCGCGTGCTACGCCGCAATGCTGCTGCGCGCGTCTGCGCTGTACCGCAGGTGAGCACGTGTCGCAGGATGCGCTCGCGCGCACACCATTACCCGCCCTCGGGTTGGCACGCCTACCCCAGAAAAGGGCGGGCTGCCCTGTCGCCTCACCACAGCCCATATGGGGCCAGGGCATGCTTGCCAGTCCCCGTGCAACCCCTCTTTGCACGAATCCCCGACTCACCCTTACTCGATCCCCCCGAAATCGACGCACGCAACCCCCAAACTCCCCCCGCACAACCCCCAAGCGTCCCATGCACAACCCTCAAAAAATCCCGACACAAATCCCCGAACCCCCCCACGTGCCGCCTGCCCGTCGTCACCAGGGAGGCATCAGCGCTGCTCGCAGCCGAGCTCGCCCTGTGCCTGGTGCTGGGGCCGGCCGCCGCGCTGACCCTGAGCGCCGCCGCCGCAACCGCCGTCCTCGCTGAGTTGGCGCGGCGCGAGCCGGAGCTGAACTTGGGCCACCGAGCCGGCGCGGAGGGCTACAGCGGTGGGCGCGCGGCTGCCGCGGCTGGGAAGGGCGTGGCCGTGCGGGCTGGGGCCGCCCAGCCCCCAGTGTCCCCTGAAGCGCCGCTCCCTCCCCTCTCTCTGCGTGTCCCCCCTTTTCTCCCCCTGCTCCCCTGCCCTGTCACCTCGTTCCCCCTCTCCCCCCGCCTTAACCACCCATCTCACACACCCCTTGACCACAC